GATATTGAAAAGACTCAAGCTTTGTGACAGCAGCGGGACAGAGCCTGTTATTCCTTCACCGGGTCTGTTTCACAAAGTCTTAACCTACATCAAGAGCTCAGAAACGAAATGCAAGTACCATGATAGTACAATACAAATTGTTTGACTCAAGTGCTGCACATGTGCCATTTTTGGATATCATTAACATTCTATTCATTTCTTCGGTTTCCAACTGGGCTGTTTTTATTTCTTACTTATTTTTAGTTTTCTCACCCTCACTCACATGTATAAGCAATGTAAATCATCAAATTTACACATAAGTTTCTCATCAGAACACTTTGATAACATTAAGACATATGTCAGTAACTTTTAATTTCATGCTAACAAACTTTAGTGGATAGCACTAAAAAAAATTATAAAATTTTCTGACATTTACGAAGCCCATATGTTTTTCTTTTCAATATATAAAAATCAATATTCACTCCCCACAAATATTTCCTGATAGAACATTGGCAAGGTCAATGAAACAACAAACAAATAATATTTAAAATATCTACCAATTCTAATCCTATACAGACTTTTTCTGTTAATTCATTCCCACACAAGACAAGCAATGTTTAAGGAAATAGTTAGTAAACTAGAATAATTCTAAATGCTTTTCATTAACTATAAAAATAAACTTAAGTGACACAACACATCCAGAACCATAACAATCCTCATAGTGCATTTTCAATACTAATACCCACAGGCATGGGCATCATATTGATAAACTACCCAATAACTTCTTTCTTGATACTGTAAATGTGTATTATTTTCAGGGTAAATATATGTGTGTGTGTGTGTGTGTGTGTGTGTGTGTGTGTGTGTGTGTGTGTGTGTGTGTGTGTGTGTGTGTGTGTGTGTGTGTGTGTGTGTGTGCGCGCGTGCGTGTGTGTGCGTGTGTGTGCGCACGCGTATGTGCTCGCACACACATGGCATGTGTTTAAGGGCATGTAGGGTCTATGTAAAGCTAAGAAACTGCTAGCATTTCCTTATACAAAATCAATGTTCATGCTTCTACAATAACTAACAGTACAGCAAGCAACATTTGGGAGACAAGTGTGAGTGGCACTGTTGTAAAAGGGATGATGTAATCATAAGTATGAGTGTACAACAGACTGGGGAACTTGGTGGTTTCCACATTGAGAAAATTATCCAATAAATCATGACCTCCAAAATCAAAAGAAAATAAACTCACACGAACCATCTTGCACACACACACCAACACTAGAGTATAAAACCATTTTAACAAACCACTGTTCATAAATGTTTATGCAATATAATAATAACCATAATCCTGAATCCGAGTCAATGACAATTAGACTGACCTCTCTTTCCTTAGAAATTTGTTCCATCTATGTTTAATAATCAAATATTTCATGGCACAACACATACTACTCTTACTAACAGTTACACAGTGCAAATGAACTGATGAAAACTAACATAACTCCCTAAATACTGCTTCGGAAAGCAAAGTGAACACCTCCACAAAAAATAGATGTGTGCTTTGTGTTCACAAACAAAACAGACCAGTCAATACTTAGGCCACTGCTAATCTTACATCAACACAAAAAACCATGCCAATTTTTAATACAAAAGAAAAGCTGACCCATGAATGGAGAAAGGAATCCTTATCCAACTACAACAGATAAACTTACAAATAAATGTCAAATATTAAAAAAGTTAAGCTGACAGACCCACTAATGTGTACTAAATTAGCATGCTAAACTCAAGCATGGTGAATATGTTAAAAAAATTACTGTGAAATTGCACATTTTCCTTTACTCTGCAAAGTGGTGCACAAACAAGCCAACTATTAGCATCTTTTCATTTTTCCTGCGTGACTCCATCAATGTGTATTTTGGAGAACTTTAAATGTAGCTTGCAGAAAATCTTAAGCAGTATTGCTCCTACAAATCTTATCTCTATGTTCCTTTAAAATGCATACTAATGCATGAATTAAGTGAACCTACCCAAAGAGACACCAAGTTAAATACAACAATAATATTACTCATGTTAATATAAACATTCACATCAATAAAGCTTCTAACATGTTGATAAAAAATAGATGAATGAAATTCAAATAAACAGTATTTGAACAATCAGCCAATTTCTTTACACTATCCCCCAAACTGGCTTAGCCAAGAAACAGAAATCTGATGTAAAACAAGCAAAACGAGTCACATCCAACGCCCAACTAAAAGAAAGCCTTTGGTAGAAGACAATCAACAAAACTAAGGATAAGCTCACTATTTGCACAATTTCTTTTACACTTATTGTGATGGACAATATGACGCTCCAAACAAGAGAAAAATACATCATACTACAGGTGTATTGTAACCAAAACAAAACTTATGTTATTTTAACATCATCTGATGCCTTGCATCTATCCAATCCAACATTTTCTCTAAGTTATTGTCCCAAGACCAGCATTTTTATTATCTATATTCCTTGTAACAGATTTAAATTCAACATTCATTAA